ACGGCTATTTTTTTAATCTGAGAGCGAAATCGGAGTGATTTCCGCCTTCACTTACTCCTTCAGCAGTAACACATTAACGCTCAGCTGTAAACACCCATGAACATGAAAACCGTCACATCCGTATATCAAAATCCATCTAATCCATATGCAGTGACAATTTTATTGTGCTCATAAAATGCTCGCAACTGCCCTTAAGCACATTGTAGTTTCAGCAGGCGGTTTAAAAAGGCTTAAATTACCCTCAAACTGCATCAAGATGAATGGATTGGCAGCACTAATGTGAGAGCAACTTTTTTCTTCTCAGGGAGGGAATTTTCCTCCCCGCAGCCGTGCCAAGAGCAGGAGGGGAAAGTCAACTCCATTCAACTATTTGTCAACTCCCTTTAGAAACATTTAATAGTAATAAAATTTATGGCTCCAGTTTCCAAAGGATACTGCCAGTGAAGTTCATCTCGACGAGAAGTGGTTGTAAATGCAACCATTGTTTCACGTTTTGATTTACGATCCAACCTTTTGCTGAGTTTTTAAAAAATATGAATAGTGAAACCAGTAGGCAGCGTATGAATATAATGTATGTACACATTTATGTATCTGTCATTTATTTGTCTTTCTGCTACTCTGTCTATCTATTTAGTCAATTCCATACCGTCCATAAGGAATAGAGGTTGGGGGGGGGGGAGATACACTCTCCTGTCTGTATGATGAGCAACGACAGTACCAGACAGCTTTCAGGAATCCACTGAAGCAGCGCGTCCAGAATCGAGTTGCCATATGGCAGCGGTGCTTAAATGTTGCCTCGAGACAGGTTGGAGCATGAACTCATATGTCACGACTGTCAGCTGCATCACGTTGCTATTAAAACTGATAAAACCCTCCGCTCATCGGGTTCATATAAGAAGATGAACCGAACAAGTCGCTATCGGAGGATTTTAGGGAAAAGTCTGAGTCGTTTGAGGTGGCGATTTACTCATTCTCTCCATTTCAATTATTTTCGGGCTCTTTACTCTATTATTCCATTACTACTTAATTCACGAGATATTATAAAATATGTTAGTCATACCATGGACCAGAGTTCAAAGTGTAAACCTTTTATTGGACAGTGTAGAATTGCCTATAATAAGGTCATTAAAACATGGCGTAGTGGACTGTGAATCCGACAGCATGAAGGGGAAAAGGGAATCATGGTCAGAGTGAGTTATGGAGCATGGAGGGGCAGTAAAAGTAAAATGATGAATTAGTATGTATTTCTATTTTTTCTTTTCTCTTTTTCATCCTGACACAGGGAAGGAAATGCTCTTTGTTTTCTTAGGGACATGCAATTTTCTTCTCGTCATCCCCTTTTCGAATCCTCCTGCTGAATCCTCAAGCCATCAAATGGAGGATTTAAAGGCCTTTGGCGGCAGTTATGGCTCCCTGCAGAAGCTTCCTCGTGATGCCGAGTGGCGACTCCGTTAAGGTCAGGGAGGAAAACCAATTTGCAGGAGGGAAGAAAAAAAAGAAAAGAAAGGATATTCCAAAAACCTTGGCAAAACTTCCGCAATTCAGTTTCATATGGAGCATCAATCAAGCCTGTTGCTCTCTTTACTGTAATTACTGGGAAATGGTATAAATTTTGTGCAGATTCGGGAATCAAGCGCTAAAAACACGGAGGAGAGAGTCTTGCTTAATTCATCCTACTTTGAAAAGTATCATAAAAATAAAATGGATCAAAAGAGAGATTTATTAGAAATCATCCTTTTAATAAAGGGACTTTCTTGCTTTTATACAAAGTGCATTTTATTACTACTATGATCAAGTAAATGCAAGAAACTAAGTAAAATCTGAAACTTTAAATGTAGATCTGCTGAATGGAGAGAGGAGAAAAAGCAGCAACATCATCCACACCCTCACGACGCACATGTGTGCACATGTGTGGATTACATTATGCTCTGGGTCCTTCCACAGAAAAACCTGTGTAATTTATGGGGAAATAAATCCATCCCCTTCCTGACAATTAAACCTTAACTCTAAAGGGTGGCACAAAAGAAAAGCTCTCATTTCCAAAAAAAAAAAAAAAGTAAGGGGGAAAGAAATAGAGAGAGCTTAAATCACTCACCGTAACACCACCAGAGTTTTTCCTCCTGTCAGTATTGAACAGTGAATAGGCGTAACTCTGCATGACAGCTATGTATCAGCATCAACATTAAAGCATCTGTCACATCCCCAGTGAACGATGAGGGTTATTTGTGAGATGCTGCTGCTGCTGCTCAGCTGACAGGTGGCTGGAGTGATGATGGAGCTGTGGAGGCCATATGCAAAACAGAGCCATCATGACACTGAACGGCTTTATAATGGCTCCGGGACTGAGTTTATAAAAGATTTATAGACGTTACAGCACAGTTAGTTCACAAATCACAGATATGATTCAGTTAGATGGATCAAAATATACATTACGTTACTGACAAGCATTTTCTAAAGTTTCCAATCAGCATAATCTCTCTTTATTTTTTACTCCAGAGCATGAAAATGTAGTTTTAGATTATTTAAATTATCCTTTTCTCAAAGTTTTCTCTGTAGTTGTGCTTTTGTGTCAATTACTCAGTTAAAAAACAGAAAATTATATTCTCTGGAGCTTTCATGCTTTTCTGCTGACTGACAGATGTTGGTGGTCGTGCGGCAAAAAACAGAGCAGCGTGCTAACAGAGGCAGTGATGACAATTTAAAATATATAATACATTTTAAAAAAATAGGTCTTGTAAATGTTTTATGAGAAAAAAAGCTGTATAGCCAATATATTAATTAAACCACAAGGATCCAACGTTCGTTAGTGAAGAAACAGAAAATGATCTTGCTTCACAAATGTGACGATTTGCTTAATTTTAGATTTATATAAATTGTGAACTAAATCTCTCTAACCATTGATCAGTCATCATGACTTTGGAATGTGCATCATTCAGTATTTTCTGATATTCAAGTCTAAATGACTGAATTAATAATGATAGCAGTCATCAGTTGCAGTCTGAATGTGCTGCTCTGGTTCTCAGATATCAGGTGTCAGCTGGAGGTTTCTCCCCCAGTTTCTCTCCACAGTCGCCAGGTGTTCGCTCATTGTGGGAACTGTTGGGTTTCTCTATAATATCATAAAGAACCTTTATTTCGTTAAGTGCCTGGAGATAATGTGTGCTCTGATTTGGTGATATACAAATAAAAGTGAACCTGATCCCAGAAACAACAATCATTCATCAATCTGAACCAACATCAGTCAAATAAATGTTTACTGACATTTGCCATAAGTTTTTTTTATGTAATACTGAGGAGAGCAGAAACCAGCCCATGTCAGAAAAAAAAAAAAAAAAAAAAAAAAATTCTTAAATCCTTTTAATTTGAAAAATATAAGAAAAGATTATATATGCACGTGCATAGTACACTAATAATAATAGTGTTTACTCTTCTTACTAAATGCACAGTTTATCCAGCCTCATCAGAATTTGTTGCTACAACTAGTTTGGTGTTACACTGGTGACTCCTGCAGCCGTCAGCAGGTTTTACTCAAGTATTCCTGTAATCTGGATGTTAAATCCAGCTGTAAACAGTTGACCGGGTTAAGTTTTATTCGTGTCTCCGTGCTCTGAGAGGCCTTCGGGTTAAGCGGCAGAAAATTCTGCTGGTTGTGAATTATAGGATCACAGGCTCATTTACAGACTTTCTAGGTCGGAGAGGCTCAACAATTAGAAGCTGTGGATTCGAGTTTCCTGAAATTAAGTCATTACATCCAGAGGAGCTGATGAGGTCACAGCTGACAGGAAAGCCTGAGGCAAGTGACTCAACAAAAACACAAAGGACCCGCGGCTCCACTCCAACTCCATTCATTTCTGAACTTTAATTCTTTTGTTGGATTTTTTGTTTAATATTCCAAACTTAAAAGCCACATTGTGTTGCGTCATAACCTAACGTGAATTCGGCTTTCATCGACTTGCAATAACTTCCTTGGATTCAATTAAAATGGATGGCACGACATCAGTGTTGTTTCAGATGTGGCGTGCAGGCCGCGGTGAATCGCCGCAGCTGAGACGCACATTGTTTTCTGAAATATGGAACATCCTACATCCTGACTGTGGATGAAATTCAGTGGAAAAAGACATTTTCTCAGGTGGTAGAATGAAAGGATCACTTTTGGCAAATGCTTTTCCGACTTTGCCAAAACGGTCGATTTATGCTCCAAACTAATCTCTGTGTGATTCTGCAGCCCTGAATCCAAACAGTCAGAGAAGTGTTGCTCCTGAGTCCTGGCCAGCGGAGGGTCATTTACTTAATGGTGAATGAATCTCTAATCCTGTGTAAACGTCAGCTCGCTGCAGAAAGAGATTTTTTTTTTTGCCGCCTGTGCTTTCAGCCAAAAAAAAAAAAAAAAAGTCGGTGCTGTTCCTCAAGCTGGAGACAAGGTCAAGGAAATAATGTTTGATCTGTTATGGCACTCTTATAATTATTTGGACCCTGGAGGAGGACCTTTTCTTTGGCTTGGCTGCTGCCTTCTAATATTTCACGTGGAAGATGTGAAAGCCGTATCACAACTTGTGGTGGAAGAACGCTGCTGGAGATTCCTAAATCATCTCGCAAATTTATTCCCCACTCACTTTTATTTTATTAATTACCATTAATTTTAAAAACTCTTAAGAGTACAATCTTTTTGTCAGGCCCTAGACATATACCTATGTCTATAAATGTCTATATCATATGATGGTGGAAGTAGATTTTTATGTCCTTGACTACTCCTGTGGAATTATTCGACATTAGATTATATCGTGCAATGTGAAAGAAAGTGAGACATATTGAATGGGTTCTTCCCTGACCCGCCCCACATCCTTCCACCAGTTTCGTGGTAATCCATACTGATGTAATCTTTTTTACATCAAACCAATCAACAAACAAACAAACAGACAGAGGTGAGAACATAACCTCCTCTGTGGAGGTAATCACAAGGCAACTAATGTTTACTTATGTTCAGTATGTGTTAAGATATATAAAGAACAAATCTCAGCACTGTTGCATTAACTTGCTTCTTTTAGTTCTGCAGCCAAACTTTAAGATTTCCTGTCCGGTTACACACAAACTGCACGGGATCAGCAAAAGACTATAAAACTCACACATTACACACCCCTCAGTGTTTCTCTGAGGAGAATATCATTTCCACACTTCAGCAGAAAGCCTGCCCAGGACAAATAGTTTATGATAATGTTTAAAATCTTTTTATCATGTTGAATCATTGAAGAGAGGAGAGCCAAGCCGTGACCCTAACAGGAGCGTAGGAGGAATTGAAAAGTGCTGTTAAAACAATATATATTCATAAAAGCAGAGGTAAAAGTGAAGCCAGTGTTATTTCATTCAATAAATCTCCCGCAACAGGAGGAACCGGAGAAAAAGTGTGGAGCTTATGATCCGAGACTTTCTTCACCAGAGTTCAGCTGCTCTGGGCGACGTCCTATCAGGTTGGAGAAGCTAACGCGCGTGTCTGTTTGAATGGAAGGAAGCGGAGGAGGACGGGGAGTCTTCGGCGGGTTTTGAACTCTGAGGTGGGCGACCTCTCTTCTCCGAGATCATCCAGGTTTAATTGTTCTGAATGCAGCTGGCGGTGAGTTACTGCCTGTACGGACAGCAGAATGACATGCATGGCAGGTTTATAGCGAAGATGGTAAAAAACGAAGGCCTGACTGAAAGATCATCTGCAGGGACTGAGGCTGACATGACTTTGAAACACTTCCTGTTTCTCACATATTGATATTATGCAAAACTGACAGTCAGGCACATACCAGCACTTCTATCTCATACTTATAAATATGAACTAGCAACAAGTGACATGATTTTTAGATTTTCTCATAAATAAATCACAGATATAAATAAATGCAGAGAAGTCAATTATAGCATAAATATTTAATTTAACTAATTCGTAGGAAACTTTCCTTTTTTTTCCTTCCACTGAAATATTCTTCACTATTGTTTCTGCCACAATTCCAATACAATTGCGATTGTTTTGTTCACAGCATTAAAAAGTGTTTGTCCACAAGAGGGCACTGACAAGTTCAATTTTCAAAAGTGCTCGGAACATATCGTGAAAACGGTCCATCGAGGATTCTCTATCACAAATGTTTGGTTTCTTTAAGTGCAACTGGTCAATATATCATAATTACTCACAAAAATCCAGTATAGGTCAGATTATATTTCATGTGCTGCAGTAAAGTTTAAAATATGCCGATGTATCACATTTGCAAGATCATGTTAAGTCTTTGAAATGAAAAATTCACCAGGTCATCAGATGGTAGAACTTACATTTTTCTCAGTGTTTAAGTTTAGAGCTGTTGTAAGGAAGTGGTTTTTAATGGTTTCCTTCTATTTCAGCTCAGAAAAATGTACAACAGAAGCGAGCTAACATAAAAGGTGAATATCATGACTGTGCAATATGCCATCATTCATCACATATGCCTCACTATTTTCCTTCTCTCCGTCTTTTGCTGCGTTTCTACTTTTCTCCGTTGCTCCCTCGCTCCCTGGAATGCCGTGCATTCCTCTTTGTTTGCTCATAGCGAGCCCTCCCTGTGGATCCCGGCCCTGACTTTCCCAAAGCCGATATTAATATCACAGGCCATTGTAATGGAGTTATTTTCATGGAAGCCCCGGAGGAAGTCACGTGGCTATGATTAGTCCCCCGAGGGCCCGGAGCCTCCATTAAGCTCGTTGTTTTAACTCACATAACCATCAATGAAGTGGAAAAGCTGAGGAAGTAGCTATCACTCTGGGCCGGCTGGGGTGTTTTCTGAGGACCTATTTTGTTAATGGGGCCAGAATATTTTCCCTCTCTTCTCTTCTTTTTTAGGGAGGGGGGCTGGGTGGGTTATTCTTAAACTGTGGCTCGCAGAAAGAGCCTACACATGTGTGCGTTTACACTGACCCACCACCATTAAGATTGATAGCAATGGGATCTGGTGGTTAACACACCGTTTAAAAAAAAAAAAAAAAAAGGTGGAGGAACAGCATAAGGAAAAGCACAAGGACTCACACACACTCACCAACTACACGCAAGGGTGAGCTCCAATGCTTCTGCCATCAGGAAGACGACTTGAGGTAAGATGGAAAGAAAAAAAAAAAAAGCACCCTGGAATACATTTACTCTGTCAGGTTACTACTTAAACACACACGACTGAGAAAAGCAGACACTGCCACATGCACGCTTCCTCTCATAATTCTGTTCACCTCGCTTCTTGACCTAAAAGCCACTGGACCACTCCACCACTGGGCCACTTCCAAGGAAACAGGAAGAACTGGGCCGCTGAGGCGGTTGACAGCTTTCAGATGGACCATCGGTGATATCAACCATGTTCAGAGGCTCGCTGTGAGGAAGTGACGGCTGCTCCCACTCCGCAAAATGTAATTACCCGGAGAGGAGCCTCGAAAAAATGACCTTCAACAAAAAAAACAGGGAACTTACTAAAACTATGAGTTTAAATTGACCTTATTCAGTCTTTTCTGTCTTAGTAAATATTTAAATAATATCTACGTATATACAAATATACCGCATACATTAATACACACAGACATTTAGATATATACACACACAAATATACATAACATATACATACACACAAACCAAATGTATACATATACAAAATGTAATGTATGGGTATATATGGTTGTGAATCCAGTCTGGTCTTCCACTTAAGAAGTTGACGTAATGAAAAAAACACTCCTTGCTGTATATTAATATATGACACTTTTACTTTTATTACTGACAGTATACATCTACCTCTGAGTTTCGACAGTGACCCAGATGGGAGCGGGGTCACGAAATGGCTCAAACATCCATCAACACTTTAGGAAACATGTGTGACAAAAAAAACAGGAACTGGTTGTCAAATAAGAGCCTGTTGCCCCCTGAATCAGGAATGTTACCCAGCAGGCATTGGGCTTCATAGACACTCGCCCTGCTGTCTTCGCCCGCCTGAATCACACGACTCCTCCTGTGTTTACAAAATGACATTTCCATGTTAACTGTCACTGTAACCTGGATCTCAGGGGGAGACTTTTTTCAATGTAAAACTCACTTGCCAGCAAATAAATCTGGTGATTTTATGGGGTCTTTCTTTTGTTTTGAAAAAAAAAAATGTAAATACCAAGTCGGTCACATCACCGTGCAAATGGAAGATGGCTCAGAGCTTCCATTCAGTCACATCTGCATGTCGTCCAAAATGACGTAAGAAGTTCCCGTCACTTTCCCTTATTAATGTCAGCTCCATGTTGGGTGCTGAGCTACATAAACACCCACACACATGTTAATAATGCACACGCAGCAAGACTCTATGTGGGCCCCATTTGACCTGCGTGTGTTAAACTGACACACACACACACACACACACACTGCATCTAACCCCACCGTGTTCCCCACGCTGCTCGGTCCCGACTGGGCCCGGCGGGGGGAAATGGAAGATCCACATGGAGTTTGTGACACCGCAGCCCTCTGCTTCTCCCCAGTCGCCGAGTCCAGAGGAGGCCGATCGGCCCGCTGCACATTAACTGGAACAGGTGCAGTGAGCGGGGGCTTGTTTTTCTTCATTGGCTCCTCAGGAAATCATAAAGCAAATATATTGCTGGAGGACAGTTTTTGGGGTGCCCTGTGAGCAAACTGAGAGGGGAAATGGATCAACGAGCGGCCACCGGGGACAGTAAATCAACAGGCTAAAAGGAGAGCTGAATGTACTGTGGAGGCCCCGGGAGCCCAGCCCAAGGCCAGGGCCTCTGTCAGTCAGAGCCTGGTGTTAATGTCAAAGCCAGCTGGACCTGGCAGCACACGCCTATAAGGAAATGATTGAGCTGTCTGTGTCAATCGGCAGTGTACCACTAGAGGCCATCATGTCACAGGCCAACATTTTGGGAAGCTTCTAGCTTGTGTGTCTTTTTTCCTTTTATCCAAATTTCTCTTTCATATCTTTCTGCGGCCTTGACGTCGGGTAGAGGATCAGATTTTCCTGCCCCGGCTCAAAGGAGCTGTTTTTCTAAGCCATATTTTTATGACACAATATAAACATGAGTCTTCTTTCAGGATAAAAAGTTGAGTCATGCACGGTGAGATTAATGCATCTTAGTGTGAAGCATTTTCGAGGAAGGCTGTCGAGCAGTTGAAAACGTAGGAGCCTTTCCACACACTCTTTGGAGTAATGGGTCATCACTAATCGATTTGTCCTGCCTGTTTAAACTCCAGTGAGATCTCCCGGTCCCTCTGTCAAACGCCTGGGTGCACACACATTTCTCACAGGCTGGGAAACCCTCAGCCCGCTACTGCGCTTGATTCAATCATCGTCAATCGGGAACATATGTTGTTTCTTGCCCGGCTACGCCTCGCCCTGCCCGCCGCTTCCACTGCGGCGATCAGTGCCACACACACACACACACACACAAACCGAGTTTTTCTTTCGCCTAGTTTACAAATTAGAGCAGCTGAGGTTCACTGCTACTTCATAAAAGCCGCTGCTGCCATGGGAGACCTGGTCCGAGCTGGTTACCTTGTGAATGGGGCATTATTATGAGCTGGGGACACGAGCTGGTCCAGCCCAATTTTTCTGATTGAGGGTTTCAACACATCATACAGGGAAACAGCTGTACTACAAATTAGTGCATTCTCCGTGACATTGACAAATGTGCTGCTTGGACTCTGTAGAAGCTCCGACAGCTTCCAAAGCCCTGCGCTCTTGCCCACCTCCCCGGCACAGACACCTTAACCGCCAAACACACACGCATTTACACACATCTTGAACTCATGCACTTGCCAGAAGAGGCAGGGTAATAGAGGCTCTTGTGTGTGATCACTCTGCTTAATCATCTGTCTGTCATTCTGCTCGCTGTTGCCAAAGTACATATGCAGGGTGTTGTGCAACGCAATATCTATTGTTGAGAGACAGCTGTCAGGTGTCAAGTGACCACGTAGGAATCAAACCTAACTTCATTGCTGACTGATTTAAAAGTCTGTTGAAAACCAAACTTACCAGTGTTTGTGGGAGCATAAACTAATATTATAATTTTATATTTTTGACAATGTGGGCACTTGTGTTCATCAGGGAACTGGTTTGAGATACGAGACCCCTCCAGTGTAGGGGAACCACCTACAGGACAGTTTAATTGCGTTTGTGCAGATTGGGTCACAGAGTCCAGTTGGAGGAATAGAGTTCTTTATGTGTCCAACAACAGTCTATATACTATGAGGAAGGACTTTCCAGCAATGGAAAGTTACAGCTGCAGTGATGAATCACGATGCGTATAAATGGAAATCCTCCACTTATGCAGTTTTGCTACTCATCAACACAATGGCTTTCCTGAGGTCAGTTTAATCCTGAAGTTTGTAGTAATTGTTAACCGGTAAGATCTAAAGGCAGATTTGCAAGTCTCCAAAGAAAAGTGAGAGATTAGAAGTGTTTGTTCAAATAGAAGATAACGGCACACATTTGACAACATCCTCAAAAGGTGCTCAGGGTGTTGCAAGCTGCAAAAAGTGACAGAAGAAAAAAAAAGAGAGTATGGGGCACAAGTTCAAATCCTGTCCACTGGCTTATCATTGTGTTAAATTGCCAGAAAGTTAACAAAATTGCGAGATGCAGCTCCCCTATATGTCTGCAACCGAGCAGCAATCAGACCGTGTTTAATGATCCAAAAAGTACATAGTGTGAAGAATACTAAGGCCTCCAGGAGTATGAGAGTTAAAAGGAAATGGAAGATTAATCTACACATTATCTAAATTGCTATATCCAACTCAAACTGAAGAAAATCTCAGGAAGGAACAGAGATCACTTCAGCAATTGTTCAATTTAAGAAATGGAAAACCAAATTGCAGTAGAGTTAAGGGCTTAACAGAAAGTTTTTTTAACTTTAAGGCAAATGAGGACTTTCACGTGAGGTATTACAGGTAATTGTAATTATGTAGTGGAAATCAACTCAGTTAAGTTTATGTTCTAAGTCTTTACAAGTAATTCAGACCCCTCGTGTCAGTGTAGGGCACTCAGGGCAAAATGTGGTTTTAGGAGAAAGAGTGATTACAGCGACACTCACTAGGTATTTTGCAACTTAAAACGAAAAACTAGAGAAGTGAGAAGTGAAACTACTTTGGGGGTTGAACTGCTGGAGCAGCTGGAAAGCTGCATGTTCCAAAGTTAATGCAACAGGAAAATAAAAAACGGTACTTCCCCATTTTTATACTATATGTAATTTCATACTTAATAAAAACAAGGTAATGTCTGCTGCAGGGGTGGATGGTGGGAGCATAATCTATAACACGCTGAAGTGTTGTAAGTAATGATGTGTGTCTTACAGTTTGAAAACACTGTGCCTTCTGTGTGAACAGGATGACTTTTAAGGTCATTCTGGTGAATTACAACTCATAATTTCTCTAGAAAACTATATTGATACCGCAGCATCTTTACTTCCTCATTCTGACGATGACACATTGTGACCATTTCCTCTTTTATTATCATCAACGTTACAGGCTCGGTCAAGGACCTACAAAGAACGATCAAGAGAGCGAGAGTCGACACTAAATGCCTCTGTTGATTCTACAGACCTACATGAAAATCATCTCGCTGTGATCAATGCTGGTTGGTCAGCGGGGTAACCATTTTATCACCATGGCAACAAGGTTCAAAGCTCAGCTCCAGCCGCACCTAATGATAAAAATGAGGCTACAGACCACATGCTAACTTTGAAGGGGAGAGAGTAGGAGGCTGTTTTTGACATTTTCAGTTTACTCTCGGCAGGCCTGTGATGTGCAGCCAGGCCGGTTCCTCTGAGGGGAAATATCACCGGGCTGGAGGCACAACCAGCAAAGAGGCCCGATGTTATTCTTTCTGCCCTACAGAGTGGCAGAGACAAGCTAAATATCTACCCCATAAATTTGACCCGGTGTAGGTCGGGCTGCTGGCCGAGCATCAGTAGGGTGTACCAGCCTCGATAACCACAGAGCGGCTCGTATATCTGACTCCTCACATCATTCTGACTCACTCGCCGCAGGGTCACAGCACCTGAAATTGACATTATAAAGCCTCGTCTAAAATGCTGAAACATCAGCGTTTAAACATATCGTTGTCAGATTCAATATGATACATTGGTGCTATTAGTGTAAACAGATATGGTTGGTACCGATGGTTAAAAACCCCCAAAATGTTTCTACTTGACTCTGCTGACCCCACCTAACGTTGGCTTGGATTCATTTGCCTTTTTCACTTAGTTATAAAAATACTGAAAATGGCTTGTTTTTTTCTATTCAAATCCTTTATGATGAATTTGAGTACGATGAATGAGTATTGAAGCACCAGAAAATGAAATACAATTAAAATTCTGCCAGTTTCCCCCCTGATGGCCTGCTTTGTTCATTTATGTAATAATATTTCACAATTAATGTCGTGAAAACT